AAATTGTTGCACTTAAAAACTGTAAAAGATGAAAGCAGTTTGAAATAAAAATTACCAGGTGCAAATGAGGGCGGAGATTTGATAGAATGCAAGGAAATGTAAGACATTTGAAAATAAATAAAAATTGAGTGTTTTTATTTTAAAGATTTTTGTGACAGTATAAATATCAAAAAACAAACAAATGGACTGTTCTATTTTTTATTAAAAATAATATTTACATTTAATTAATAAACGTTTTTAAACAAAAACAAAATAATTTCAATAATCTCTAGTAAACAAGTCCAGGTATTTTATGGCTGAATCGTAAACTAACTTTCCAGCACCCATGCCGGTGACAAAATCGTGATGTGCCCACTTCTTTTTGGGAACTTTATGTTCGATTACTGGTACACCGGCAGTTTTCAGAATACTTATCAGCTTACGCGTATCAGTTTCACTTACAAGACTATCAGTGTTTCCATGCATTATTACAACTTTTAGTTTTGAAGAAATTTTTTCTAACGGATACTCAGGAGGTGTTTTCTGTTGGTAAACAGCGAGATTCTTTTCAGCTGATCCATAGTTGAAGTAGGAAAACTTTCCAGTGACTACACTTTGGCCAAAATGGGCCATTTGCCAGTTAGATGATGGAGATGGGAAATGGTGGAAAATGACTGGAAGTCGAGTATTATTTGTAGAATCGGATGAACCGTGCAGAGTTTGAAGGAAAATAGAGCAAAATTCTTGACCAACTACTCCTCGACAAAAGCCATACTGGAAGGCATCATTGAGTAGCTGTCTACTGAGCAAGTGCTCTCCAGGAACGTGAGGAAGAGTTTGACCGTCAAATGCCAAAGCAACTCTCATAGGGCTGTACATGTGACCGAGAAAAACTGCTGGGGCCATGGCAATAAAAGGACGTATTATACGCGCCATCTCAGGTCGTTGAGCAAGCAAAGCAAACATTGTGCCTCCGCCTTGAGAAAACCCCACGTAGGCTACTGTTCGATGTCTAGTCAAATGGCGAACAAAGTCGACGACAGCTGGAATGTCATACGCAGCAATGTGATCCCAGTCGTACATCCAAAACTCCTTGTCTCCTCTTGAGTACTTTACATGGTCACTGTATCTTGTTCCACGAGCACCTGAAATAAACGGTTATTAGACCACATAAAAAAGCTACACAAAAAACTTACTAAAAGCAAAGAAATCATATCCTGAGTTGATGCAACAAAATCCAAAGTTATCACCACACGAGTCTGCTGAATGCGTAAAAGGGGAGTTCATAAACCAACTTGCTCCATCAAGAAGTATGCCATGACCAGCTATTACGGGTTTTCGAAATAGATTATACAAAAGGGGATTGTAGTTGGGAGGTACCACTCGGTGCACTGTTATAATGTATCCGTCCTCTGTGAGGATTTTATACTCTTGAAGTTGGTATCCATGAGAATAGATTAGCTCAGAAAAAGTTTTAATTTCATCAGGGTCTATAGTTAATCGGGAAGATGCTGATAGACTTAGAAGGGCAAAAAGAATAATACAAGAGAATAATGATTGAGTGAACATGGTGTCAATTTTGTCAAATGCAACTAGTANTTAATCGGGAAGATGCTGATAGACTTGGAAGGGCAAAAAGAATAATACAAGAGAATAATGATTGAGTGAACATAGTGTCAATTTTGTCAAATGCAACTGTGTTACGATTTAAAATTTTATTGTGGCATTTTCAGTTTTTCTCTTATGCCAAAAGTTTTTTCACTTTCTCTTATGAAAACCCACGAGGTATCACTGACAGTCAAAGTCTGCCCAAGTTTTTTCTCTCACATAATGATAACTTATCTCTTTTTTGTATTTATCTAGATACTCTTTTATTCGCTTTCTCTAATTGACCACAACGCTCTATTTTCAACGGATGCAAATGTCGGTAATTTACTAGCGTTGTAGCAGCAAAAGTTTGTGAGAGTATTTTTAGAAGTTTTAACGCTTTGATTAAAGCGCATGATTTGAAAGTAGTGTGAGAAGAGAAGTAGTAGAAGGATGCGTTACAATTATATCTTAAAGAGAAAACTTTGATTTTCATTTTATTTATTTTTTATATTAAATTATTTAAGTTTGTTAAAAATGTTCACAAACATGACCGTTTGAAAAGTTTTCAATTTATGTTGTGATCAATGATGAACAATTAAAAATAATTTAGCATTGCTGTCATTCATTTAGTTTTTATTATTAATTTTTGCTATTTGATTTTGACTAAATCATCATTAAAATGCAAATCTGGATTTGTTCATTTCATATTTTTGCTATTTGTCATGCATATTTATTTATGTTTTGGCCACACAAATTGATGAAAATAAGATTGACGTAAAAATTCAAATATAATGT